CCCTTAGTCCCCTTAGTCCCCTTAGTCCCCTTAGTCCCCTTAGTCCCTTAGTCTCTTAGTCCCCTTAGTCCCCTTAGTCCCTTAGTCCCTTAGTCCCCTTAGTCCCCTTAGTCCCTTATTTCAATTTGAAATCAAGTGCTCTTTTTTCTGTTTTAATTCAGATTGAAATTAAATAACCTATCGTATGAAAATGATTCATATACTTGTGTTTGTTTTGAATTTTCTGATACCATTCTTAATCAATTTCTGTTCGACAATCACAATCTGCATTATAGTATTGAAGAAGAAAATGGATCTTTCTATTTCAGATACATGCAAATATCGAGTTGAGGAGTATATATCTATTTTTTATTATCGAATAAGAGGTATTTTTGATATTTCTCACACTCAAACATTTTTTCTCCAGATAAACCGACCAATCAATCAACAACAAACAATGCTGAAAATTGTTTTCGTTTTGTTCTCAATGTTTTAAGTGAGAACAAAGAGTTAGTGATTGGACCTGGCATCACTCTCTCATTCCTCATTTGTTCTCTCTTCCATTCTTTCTTGTAACATTCATTCTCGATTATCAAAATCTGGAACAGAGTCGGGTACGCTATCTTTTGATTGCATCATATATTGCTTCATTTTTACCACAACGAATCAGCTTCTTATTGTGCATCTCACCATCAACATTTTATTCGAAAGAATGGCGACAAACAAATATGAGCCGATGGATTCACCATCTGTTTTATCGGCAACCAACATCACTCGAAAAAAAGATGACAACATTGTCGGCCATGGGAGAAGGAACGAAAAGAAAAGAATAAATGTACTTGCAATTCTTTCAATAACAATCGTCCTTGTTGTCTGTCGAACAGGCCTGCCCATATGCCTCCAGGTTGAGAGGAGTTGACAATTTTGATGATCGATTGAAACATTTCTCAAAAAATTTCAACAACTTTTTACGGAAAATCGACCATTTTTCGCCGAATTTGCCAGCAAAACAAACGTGTAGGTGTGGGTGTAGACCTTTTCTTCACTCAAAATCACACCTTACACCCGTACCCACCCATCTCACACCCACACTCCACTCACACCCGCATAAGTCTTATGCCGAAAACATGAGAATTAGCCGCCCTGTTAAAATTTCACTTTGAGGTCAGAAATGTTTTCTATTCGTCTTGATTCAGTACCATGTTGGGATGAAGTGCTGTATCTGCCAGTGTGCGCGAGTACAACTTTCACAGTGGGATCAAGGAAGCTGGAAAATGAAAGTTCGAAATTCAAATAGTGCTTCCAGTGGATTAACTAGCCGCCGATTTAATGCTGAAGATTTCATTCATGCCCTAAGTTCAATGAGAAGAGCTGAGGGCAACTTCCTGCCTGTTTAGGGCTTTTCAGGAAGTGCATGTTACCCAAAGAAAACAGGTTTTTAAAAAATGAAAACGCTCGTATTGCGCGCGATCTCAGACAGTCGGCTCGTAAAAAAGGCTTGTTGGTGAGAAGTTGGTATAGGAGAAAACAGAGCTTGCTCTGTCCTAAGTATGTTCCAAAACAGGCGTTTAGTCGAATGAGTTTATTAATTATTCCTAGTCTCCGCCGACGACAAAACTTTTAAGAAATCTGCTTCTATACATGATACGTCTATACACGTTCCATTTTTTAAACCTTAGATGATATATTCTTTTTGCCGAATGTTTTTTTTCAAAGTTTCACACTTTTTGATTTTCTTAATTACTTCCCGGAACGCATTTTCTGTGACCGTCATCAATCAAAATCCTAAAACAGCTTATAGCTATTTTCTTCGGGGAAGCTCGTTATTAAAAACTTTTACAACCGAAAGATTTCTTCTTTGTTTGTAGGATGATAAAATATTGATGCAACAAGTCAAGACGGCCATGGAAGCCACGCTGAAGATAATACCAAACTATCCTAAGATTATGTGTGTTGGTCCGAGGAACTCGTTTCTGTTCACACACACCCATTCTTCTACTACTTCTTCTTCTTCTTTTTGAACCGTGTACACTCTAAAAAAATCGGTACTCTACAGAACCTTCCGAAAATGTTCCTTAAGGTGTGTAGAATCAAAAAAATGGGTTTTCAGATTTACGAAACCTTTAATGGTTCTTATCCTCACACCACGGTCATAACCTCTCATTGCCAAACCTTTTTTTAGGTTCCGGGATGTAAAAATTGGTTTTGTAACAAACCACCGAACCTTTAAGGATTCTTAGTGAACCCTGATGGTTTTATATCAAACCCTGAAGCTTAGTAGGAAATCATCATGGTTTGATACGAAACCATCAGGGTTCACTAAGAATTCCTAAAGGTTTGGTAGTTTGTTACGAAACCAATTTTTTCATCACGGAACCTTAAAAAGGTTTGGCAATGAGAGGTTCTGACCGTGTAGTGAGGATAAGAAACATTAAAGGTTTCGTAAATCTGAAAACCCAGTTTTTTGATTCTACACACCTTAAGGAACATTTTCGAAAGGTTCTGTAAAGTATCGATTTTTTTTAGAATGTAGACTCTGAGTGATAAAAGACAACAATTCCAAGCTGCCAAGCAAGACATTTTGATTGGCTCTGGACAGGTATACACTTTCTGTTTTTGCCGGTGTCTCGAAAAATACATCTTTATCTTCTTTCTTTTTTTTAGGAGTCTTCAAATGCAGAGGATATTAACAATCGTTCGCAGATGCAGGCCCAAAAAGATCGACTTAGGGGCCACGCCGAACAGCAGCACATCATCAAATGAGCCGTAGAAGAAGTACAGTTAAACAAATTCTCCACTTGTCTCCACCTAGAAATCGATTTTGCTGTCTACAACACATGGGCTCAAGTCTTAAGGCAATATGTGGCGTCGGACATGAAATATCTTGTACAATCCTGCAGATTCAGACACAGTTTTACGCCACAATTCCAAAAAGCGATTGCTATAAACGCGACTCACGATTTCAAAAAACGAATAAAATATTTGTTGTTTAAGAACTGATTATAACGCCTATCAATAATTACAATCAATTACTGCATCGTTTATTCGCGATACGCAATAACTTATTAAAAAAACACAAGTGTTCCAAGAGAAAGTACGCTAGCCAGAAACAAGATTATATTCAAATTTTGTGTTTGCCTAACACACAACACATCTGTTTTTCTTTCTTATATAATTAAAAAGACATCATACACCCTACTCACTTGACAAGAGAGTATATGCAGTATTTATACAAGAGAGTGTATTTAGTATTTATACAAGAGAGTGTATTTAGTATATATACAAGAGAGTGTATTTAGTATTTATACAACACATAAAATATCATTACCAAGACATCTACTACAGTATCACATAGTCCATCGAAAATAAACTATTATTTCATCAACAAAATGAAATGCCTATGCGTTTTCTTGATTCTGATGGCTCTTGTTTCAATTTCAATCAGCCTGATGGGTGATACTCCACATTATCCATGGCGTGGTTGTCAATGTCAACGAGGAGGAGAACGTGGTGGTCATTGCCATTGTCCAGATCATGGAAAGATGGAAAATACCTATTGTCGATATGGAGGAAATCATTGGATTTGTTTTCCATTCAGTCGTCGTCGCTCAATTTCTTCTGAAGAAAGTCATGATCATGATCATGAATGAATACTTTACTAACAACATCTGGTAACACGAATGGTGCTCCCACAATACCTGCTCCCAGGACATTTGCTCCCGCAACACTTGCTCTCCAAAAATACTCAATAAAACCTTTTCTGAAATACAATAAAAACATATTCATTTATTAATTTATTAATTTATTAATTTAAGATATTGAACTCAATAATACAGTGATTAAGGTCCTATAGATTGTACAAATTATTGAAATATCACACAGTACGAAGCAATATTAACAACAGAAAAAAACGCTACCAGCTTTAGAGAAAAACACATAAATACTTATACAGTGTGGCACATAAATCAATCATTGATTTTGAAAATAAAAGAAAAATGAAAATTATGAATGTTTTAATGAAAAATTTTGAGCTAAGGCCATAACTTTTTCATAGCTTGTTGTTGTTTGTTCATTAAGCAAATTCAAAATACGCGTTTCACGACGAATTTGTTCTAGCTTTCTAGCTTGTTTTACACCAGCTTCTGCTTGAATAATTTGAGCATCAACGAATAATTGTTCCTTTTTTTTAATCCTTTCAAGAATTTTCAAAAGTTTGGATGACTGCAGTTCATTAATGATGAAAATTTGTTATTCCAACCTTCTATGACGTTGTTCGTTCTATGTTTACCTTGTAGTGTATTAGTATTAACATTCCATAATGATATATCGAACTTAGGAATTTATTTTGGTCTTGATGACGGAGTTTTAACACCAATATAATTTTCTTCGAAGTACTTTAATACAGATTTGTCTTCTATTGGAAATTGAGCTTTTATTTCATCAAATGTTGGAATAACATCATTAGTTGATAAAAATGCTAAAGCAGGTAAAGATCGAATTTGATGTGCAGTCTTCATTTTCACTATATAAAGTTTTTAAACCAAATCGTATAACAGCACGATAAACATTTTGACATAGATGGAAACAACATCCATGTAAATTGGATATTGAAAATATATTTCTAATTGCATTGATGCTTACATTTTCAAAGTCAACCATTACATTCAGTGGATCGAAATTCGGTACCAAATTTATAATTTCTTGTAACATAGTTTTGTATAAACGTTGTCTTTGGCCTAAGAGAAATATGAACCCAACAACGAAAACTTCAAAAAAACATTTAATAAATAATACTCACCAGGTAACAACACATAAGCTGCTGGCAGGATATGATCTAAATATGCGACATGTATACTGTATAACTGAAAATATAATTCAGGAATCACATTAAATGTCTCATCTAAATAGATATAATTTGTATTCTCTAATATTTTAAATTTTTTCTTTGTAGAAAAGATTAATAAACGTTGATCAATTGCACCAGAATCGAATTGTAAAAATGTACGATTACGATTTGTTTCTGTAAATAGTGGATCAATAACAAGTGAATTGCGATTTGCTGGTAATGGTAATGAGTTTTGATGCTTTTGACAAATCTGTTGAACAGTTCTTTTAAGATTTTGCAAATTTGGTAATGATGCGACAGCATGATCAGATAATTTGAATATACTATCAGCTACACTAACATGTGTTGTATTAGTAGTTTTTTTAGCTGCATTATTCATTTTTGTGCGTGCTTCGATTAATGCACGAGCCGAATGAATTGGCTGATGGTTTTGGTCACCTAGTGTTTGGATAACCTGATCGTTCATCGTATGAAGTCGGCCGCGACATTGACCATGACGATAATTATGACAGCACCGTATTATTTTGTGGGAAGATTCTTTATTAAAAATATACAAGTAACCTTGGTGTTCAAATACTGGTTTTCCTTTAGTAGTTTCCATCGTGTAATAAATAAGTTGATCATTAACACTATCAGAAAATGTTGATATAATGCCGTGCAAATGAAACGTGACTCGGTGAAATTCAGAAAAAAATATTCTCAAAGAATAATCATGTATTAATATCTTTTACTAGTCAACCATATTTTATTGGATTATCTTCCATCGGTATTTAATTAATTAGTGATAGTAAAAATGTATGAGATCAAACAATTAGATTAAATGAAAGCATGATAAATAAAAGAACACAGTCATCCAATTATCTTTATTTAGTTGATGATATACTTGTCGATGTATAGTATTTGTTTATCTCAATTGTTCTGTGACCTTCAAGCACTCTACATTAGTGGTTTTACTTCCAACTAGAATGGCAGTATAGTAATTTTAGCTATAATTTTAAAATCAGTTAGAGAATCTCGTGCTATCTTGAAATGCTGCATGAATGTACAATCACATTGTGCTCTTTTTCGTTTCATTCATTTTAAAGTTCGCAACAAACATTCTCAAGTTGTCAAAAAAAAAAGCTCAATACGAATGATACTGGAGAGCAAGTATCAATGGGAAGCATGTGTCGCGGGAGCCAATGTCTGGAGAGCAAGTGTCGCGGAAGCAACTGTCTGGGAAGCACCATTCATGGATTCACAATATCCTTCATTCATTGTCTTTCTTTAAAAAAATTGTATTTAATCAACATGTGTGCAAAACTTTCGAATTTCAGTTTGCAACACAAGAATTCCGTAAAAATGTATAACTTAAGCTATGGTGTTTCAATAAAGTTCTTTCTCTTTACAGGTTTTTTTATTGCCGTAGACATATACTAGGAAATCTTTTTCCCGGTCAGTGGCTGCAACTTGTCAAGATTTTCTTTGCAGAGCAACGCTGACAAGCTTTTTATAGAAAGCTAGTCCTTGCGATATATACCTTTTCTGCATATCTAGTGTCTAACTATCGTTAGGAACTCTAGAAATGAATGCCATAAAAATTGTTTTTAAAATAAGTACGAAAATCCCAGTGTTTGAAACACGTTTTTCGAATTTTAAAAACGCAAAAACTTGAGGTTTTTGTTTCTTATTGGAAAATCACCTCCAAAATGTTCTGCGTTGCTGCCCGAATGGTACTTTACAAAGCAGTTTTTCGTTGCGTGCAGTATCCAGGGTTAAAAAAGTGGCTAATGTTTTCAAGTGGATGAACGCTTTTTTCGAATCCGGAGGGTGTGGGCGGGTGTACATGTGATCCTCTTCAGTGACTCACGCCAACACCCACACCCTGAACGATGTATAAGGCAGTTCAAATACGACGTTCTAAATTTTGTTTTCTTTTAGATAGTTTCTCTCCTCCATAAAGTTGTACATAATCATCAGCCGAATGTAAAAATATAACATGCTGTTCGAAATATCTTCAATTGCTTCAATCTTACATTAAGATAAATCTCAGTTTTTAGCTTGCTTTCGTTGTTATTGGTTGATCTCTGCAATGGCTCGATCTTCAGGTAAAATAACGCTTGCTTTTGAACATACGTATTTCTTTGTTCTAGATCTATCTCTTTCACTTTGAACATCACGATAATTCAAACACACTCAACATTCTCATTTTGGGGTGTGGGTGTGGATCTGGTTGTGGGTGTGGGTGTCGGTGATCCCTTGGTCAACGCTCATAATCACACCCACACCCACACCCATGCCCACACCCCACACCCACACCGACCCACACCCTCCTTTCAGATCGTGTTTCACAAAATGGTTCATATGCATCATATTCATCCAAATTAATCGGCGAAATGATAAATTGAATGCAAATGTATCTGTTCAGAACAAACGATGAAATGAGAATGGCACAATATAAGAGATGCATTGTTTTCTCGTTTTTTCACATACTCTAACTGTATCTATCTGTTGACACACACATACGATAGCAATAGAGATTTAGTCACTTTTTACGCAATACGGCAGTGAAATATTTGATACATGTTGTACATGTCGGTACCTATTCGATAAGCTTCTTCAAATATTTTTGACAACCATACACATCGGTTTATGACGTGCATAAGATTGTATGTGTTCTTACCAGCATTGTCAAATATGGATGAATGAAATATTGAAAACCTTCGTTTATTTCCTAGCTGAAATAAACACTAGTAGTGAGCTTCAAAAAAGAATGATAATTGCGCTATTGTGCAATAAGTAGTAAGTTAATTTATGAATTTGATAAACAAATCAGTTTATTACAGTCTGTGAATAACAACTAAAAAATCAGAAAAATCAGGTGAAATCAGGACGCTTTTTAAAGACATTAGGAAAGTAGTGCAGCTGCAACCCTTGCTAAAGATATAATCCAAGACAGATCGTCATGCGTACGTAACGCGGTGTGCGTTACGTGTCAGACGCTTTGTGACATGTGATGACGTGTAGACGGTTGTGTGACCGGATTGAGGCGCGTACGTACACCTTGTCACACATGCGTCCACACGTCATCACGTGTTACAAAGCGTCTGGCATGTAACGCGTACCGCGTTACGTACGCATGATGATCCGCCTTGAGAATAAATTAACTGTATGATCAATTCCGCGAAATTATCTTTGTATTATTATATACAGTAATAGAATTTAGAGACTATTCTCTTAATTACAAACCAGTCACCATGTTATTCATCTTGAATATCAATTTGGTTCGTTTCATTTTGTGTTACATTTGAAGACATACACCACTGTATCGTATAGCGTTTTGCAATATCTCGTTGTCGATATAATACATCACGTATGCGATCGTATTGATTAGGCGATAGTAGATCATGTATTTCGGTCAACCAACGATCAAACTGATCATCGGTAATTGCTGCAAAACGATTCAATGTTTTTTTCATTGAAATACGATCAACTACTGGCAGTTTACTGAGATATTGTTCGAATTTTTTTGCTTGTTCTATCGAATCGAACTTAACCACTGCCAGATGGGGACTATGGAGCTTGCAAGCTACAATGCTAATGACATTCAATTTACCCATACCAAAGCAAGAATCATGATCGATTAGATGCATCTTCAGTTTTACGGTATCATCGTCAATAGAAGCATCCTTCGGCATCGTAATTAAAATATTTCGTGGATTACGATCTACATTCTGTATTATATGATCGAGTAGATCCATAGATCCGATTGTTGGATCAGTTAATAGTGTTTTTCTTCTTTGCTTTGGTAGTTTCATGAATGTAATAGTTTTTTCGTTTTCATTAGCAGCATCACTATGTAAAGTTACCAGATCACTTTTATATACTGAAATTTGTGCTTCATTAACAGACAAACCAAGTGTTGTTCCTAAAACATAGGCTAACCATTCATTGGCAGCGCATAATGGATGGTCTTGTATTTTGACTAAAACTCGTTGTCTTTGAGGATCAAGCATCCATATGGATTCATTACTGAAACCCTTATCACGATTTTCGCCTTCGATTGTCCAATCTGATGTAATTTCGGTAAATGCTGGCTTAAGTGAATTATTGGTAGTTTGTTGTTTCATTTCCATTTGCTTTTGTCGGTCTATTCCTTTCTTCACAGCTTGCAGAACATCATCACTAACATGTGTTCCTCGTGCAAACACATCGACCGCATGCAATGTACCATCGACCATTACTTTAAAGGGACCTCGAAGCCAATGGACAATGGTATTGGAGAGACGTATCTTTCGACTAATTCTTGGTGCTGTACTAGCGCCAATGACTCCTACTGTTTCTTCATCTTCTGAAACCATTTCGTTCTCTGCTTCAGTTGAACCAAGTTCACTTTCATTTAAATCTAACATCAATGGACTTATTAATTTGAGAAGTAAATGAGACAGTACTGTATTATCATCTTCTTGCTGTCTTAAGCTATTTCTTGAATTACTAAAAGTAGATCGTAAATGACTTGTATTTGTCTGCGATGGCGGTGATTCGATTATTTCTGATACATTGTCCGATTGACCGTTTGTATCATAAATTTGTAATTGTTCTTGTGATTCTCTTGTTGCAATATAATTATTGATTTCGTCTAGTTTTAAATTTAGTTGTTCGATCTCATTTCTTAAGTTTTCAATATGGTTCTCAAGATAACGATTCTGATCAGATTCCGATCTATTGTTCTTTGTAAACAATTGCTTTTTCACATTTTGTTTATCTTCATCAATTAGATCTTCTAGCTGTTGGTGTATTACATTTGCTTTTTCTTCGATTTCGTTTGATTTCATTTGGTATTCATAAATTTGTTCTATTAAATCCAATTGAACATTCGTTGATAATTTTGATTTTAATGATTTCAATTTTTTGTTTAATAGATTCTGAACATATAGCATATGTTCAAAATCTTCTTGAAATTTTGTTTGATGTTCCAAATAATGATCCACACAGTATAATAGTCCACATCCTTGACAGTAGTTCATAGCTTCTGCTCTACATTTAACATCATATTTACAATATTTGTTCGATGGTTCATTAACTAGCTTTGAAGAAATCATTCTTTGAAGAATTCAAATAAACTGTAGTAAAATCTAAGATTAACAAAAATAGAAGACAAATATGCTTCATTAGAATTTCATGTCAATAAATTTTCAAACTCAAATAATTACAATGAAAGTCAAAAATTGTTTTCGAAAAATTGATAGTTGTAAAAACTGACCACTACTTGTGAAATTCTAATTCCATCAGAATTCACTTCTCTCGACCAGTCTATTCCATTTTTTTCTTCTTCACCATAAATTGTTCTAGAAATTTGTCCTGATAGTTATTGAGAAAGAATGCTGAAAAAATTTATCTCGAAAACTCTCGACAACTATGGGGACATATTTCTGCTGAAAAAGAAAAAAAACTGGGACAGAATGGCCGAGATAATCTTCCAAGGAGTTGTTGAAAGAAGTGAATTCCGACGAAATCGAAATTTGACAGCAGGCCAAACTGATGAAAAGTACAGTTATAAATCAGTCGAAATCACAGTTCAAATACTCTTCTGATTTCCTTCCGCTGATTTTTCATCAAGGTGTTATCGTTGATTTCAATAAGGAAATGTTATTTTGCTAGAAATCTTCAAACTAAAATCCACACTGCTTTCTAAAAATTATTTTACAAAGAACAAAATTCTTATTCATTCAAGACGCTATACCAGAATTAGCTTACTTCTTTTTCAAATCATAGAGGAATATTCTCACTTTATTCTATTCTAGACAAAACAAAATGCCTGTTAATTTAAATTCGTGATGCATGTGCATAATTTTTTGGGATTTCAGAAAAAAAGGTTACATTTTCTTATGGAAGCCAATGACAGAAGCTTAATCTAATATCCCTTATATGTGTGTCTTATGACTTTGTCATCGACAAAGATTCAGTCCGTATGGCTGAAACATTTGTATTTTTTTCTGGATGAGCCATTCCATGTAAGCCACAACCTAACGTGCTCAATGGAGGTCGTCTGATTCTACTGAATTTAACATATTTTGTAGAGGCAAGAGTTACGAGAATTTTAACGCAAGCCATTTGAAAAAATATTGTTCCATTCTCGAAATATCGAACTTTTTCTCAGGTCACTATCGTCAAGAAAGTGCATTTTTTGTGACATCTTTATCTCATCAAGGATACATGCAATTGACTTGAAATTTGCACTGTAAGTAGATATCGTAGTTCTGTATTACCAAAAAACAAATTAAGCTCGAAAGGATAAATTGTTGGAGAGTTGCCCAATATCATCAGGTACATGGAAAAATGATCATTTTCAAGTATTTTGTGTCTATACCTATCTCATGAAGAGATCGTGTTAGAAATTTCAAATGTTGGTTATAGAGAGATCTCATTGAGTACTTAGTCCAGTAAAATTTTCAGTTCTCTATATAGTTCCTAGGGTTGAGGCGCTCTCCAACAAAATCATAATTTTGATCAAAATCAGCATTTTAGGAAGGCCCGATCTGACAAAAGAAATCCTCGGTAGAAGTCCGATTGATGTAGTTTTAAAGTACAAATTGAGTACTACAAAGTTATGAAAAAATTGGCGTAGGACGTCCAAGAGTCGTTGGAAAAAACTTGTTGAAAAATAGAAAAAAATTAGCTGTTTTTTCCTATAGAAAAGCTACCCAA